TCTCTACTTTTGTTTCGAACCAGAAAGCTTCGGAATTGGCTGATTGTCTTAAATTACAGCATACCGTTTATAAATTCGACTATAATTGCTATTTTGGTAATACATATTCTCCTATTATCTCTATCTATGCATAGGGCATTAAGTATGTTACGTGGCTGAAAGCAGTAAATAGAAATGGCAGCAGACGTTAGGCTGGCAAAATGGGTGGCATCGGATGTTAACATAAAACAAATCCCCGCACAAGTTAGTTTTACCGAACGCTGTAGTTAAACGACGTCCTTTATTGTAATAATTCGGTAGTTAAATACGTTGTGCATGCACTCCACTTATGAATTTATTATCAATAAGTACACTAAATGTCATGAAGCAAAAATGTCCTTTATTCATGAATGGTCGTCTTGTTTCTGCCCATTTTATTACTATTGCTGCTACGATAGCGTTAGTTTTCGTTACAACGATTGAATCGAGGCCTACATGCTTCCTTTTTATGTCCGATGATATTTAGAAAAAGAAATGTTTAGCATGCGGCGTCGTCCGGACTACCGCGTACTGCTACACAACGCAAACATAAGTGGAATCAGACAACCGGCATCTGCTGTGGCCTTTAAAACAAAGTTTCTGTTCTTACAGGTGAGTTCGCCTCTTCGACCTATCAGTTCAAACGAATGCACCGTGCTATAGGACTTAGTCTAGTTGGTGGCAAAATTCCATGAGATAATGACAAAGGTAAGAAACGCTTATTAGCTTTCAACTCCGATAAAGCTTTGCGAAGACGTCAAAGTTCCGGGATGCTTGCATCTGTTTGGTCCGCAGCAGTCCGTCCATATTGATGCGAACAGTTACAGGGCAACCACGTATGCAGATAGCCTGTGGATGACTTGTACAGTATAAACCTCAAAGTCAGAGACCGGTAACTTCACAGAGGAGAATTAAGATACTTTGGCTGACAGCCCGCAGTGTTATGGTTCGCTACTTCGTGTGGTATTTTATGTTATTGGCACTCCTAAATGCATACTACGATGGTGCACCAGCAGTCTGCCAACACTTGGCTCGGAGGGGACAAATTTCTTTGTAGATACGAGTAACAGGCATATAACATGTAGAGGGCTGTGTAAGGTCTTTGAAATAACGCGTACTCACCGGGTGGCACCGTGACTGACAATAACGCTCTACGCTTGGTTACAGCAGCAGATCCATGTGCTTGGGAATCCGCCGGAATATTATCCATACGAACTGGTTAGTATTAGGGCGCACTTCCGACCTACATCATTTCTGCACCCACATTGCACATGTGTTAAAAACGACCAGACGATGTATTATACCCTTTGCTTTACGTGATATGAATCTTGCCCATCGAGTGCCGACGAGACGCAAACAAACTTTTGCTCACCATCCCTCACGAAATTGGGGTAGACGGGTTTACGTGTATGTATCCCGGACAGATGAGCGGTTTATCTTGCTGTTAATTTTGTTTCCCACTAGACTTATTCATTTTACACAACTCATCCTAGGAATTTGTAAAGCCTCAGCCCATTTTTACCCGTTTTGTATTAATTTACCAACGGTGCGATAACATTTCAATAGCAGTTGCCGTCCCGTTTTAATTGTGAAATGGAGATGAACCGCAAGCTCAGAAGCGTGGTGATGTACGATGTAAGACAAACTTACTAGCTGATAAGAGTCAAAAACTTATTTCCAGCATGCCATTAATAACACACAACCGAACACATGTAAAAATACCCAAAAGTAAGCGTTGTAGAGTATAAATGCACCAAAGAAGTTGGGCTGTAAGTAGAAATTCCCAACATATGGGCTCAGTCAGACAACAGTTGCCCGCCTGAAAACACTGTATTCCACGATGCGTTCTGATGTTAATTCATCTTATCAGATAAAGATAGCCGTTCCATATTTTCGGGAAACGTCATCAACGCGCGGTCCTTCTGCCCCCAGTGCGGCACGAACCCGCAACCCGGCTGCTACCAGTCTGTGGTTAAAGCCACTAAGCTACGAGGACGGTAATGACCAGTGTGACTAAGTTATTAGGTGTGATATAACCACTTATTTTCAGCTGACTTGCACGTTACTGCCTTGCAGAGGAAAGAGTGGCCTCATCACCCAGAGAAGAAGTTACCAAAATTAAACCGCCAATAAACCTAAGGCATCTTAAGCCGTTTGGTTCGTGAATTTATTATGAAGTAGCATTATGGGATTTGAACAGAACAAGTAGATATTCATCACATCCACGCGCAAATAACCTAAGTTCTATAAGTTCGCAGCTCGCTCAGAAGGCTACTCTGTAGTAAAGTGCAAGTCATTGGATAGTAAGCAGTGCTATATCACATCTACTAACTTTGTCACGACAATCGTTGTCGTCCCCCGTAGCTCAGTGGCTTCAACAACAGACTGACAACAGTCGAGTTGAGGGTTCGTGCCCTACGGAAGGTCAGTGTGACTCCTCACTGCTGACGATTCATAAAGAAATGAGGCCGCTGTGCAATACATTTCCGAGCGTCTAATGGCTATCTGACGGAGTCTAGACGTGATGAATTCCCGCTTATACCGTGCAACTCCACTACAACTCCTTTGTAAGTTAAACTATCTTGAACAAAACCAGGAATACACTTTAACAATGCTGCAATTATGGCTTGTATACGAGTCAAACTTCTTAACAAGCAAGTAAGGCGTAGTTAGGTTATCGTCTCCTTCACTTACCTGCAAGTGATCTATGCAGATTGAAAGAACTTGGTAGATTCGACTTGTTTTTGCCCTTGTATATGATGATAATGGTCAGATGATGAATCATTGAAAGTAATTGCTCACTAGTTGGTCTCGTGTTCTCGAATCTCGAAACGTCGTCCACCAAACCTAATACCCTAGTGATTAGAACTTCCACCGTTAGTGTGGTGTGCTGTGCATTACACGCAGCCCCAGGTTATCTTTAACCGAAGCGTCATAACGAAGATCACACTGGCAACAATTTGCAGTCTTGATTGGGCAGTATGCTTCCAGCAGTCTTCAGAACAAATATTAGCGAACAAGATCGTTTTCATTGGTTCCTCATCAGGCTAACACACCACCAATGGATGACATGAACGTAAACACCAGCTAAGAGTACAGGTTCAAAACCCAGATGGCCTGAGTGACCAACCTAGGCGATTGGCCCCACGGCGACCAACAGTTGTGTGTGTGTGTGTGTGTGTGTGTGTGGCGTTCTCCACTCTATGTGTCCGTGTTACAGGGGACAAGGGTAGGGTTAATGCCTGGACAAATTCCTTGTGTGCACATAGGTCAGGGTCATGTAACCTGATGGCTATCGCCTCGGCCGCTGCCAGTAGACGCATCTAGCCGCTCTTGTGTGGCATCTGGATAAGCGGTAGATGGGCTGGAACGCCTCATGCGCTCTGACTTGATGGCTCGAGTTGATCAGGTGTGAAGACACTGCGCTTGCCACTGATCTAGTCATGCCGCTATACGACCAAGCTGGACAGTGTTCCCTGGCTCTCTCGGACAGTCTCCTGGTAGTTCTTCCGATATATCTTGATCCACACGAGCAAGAGAAAGAGTATATGCAGAATGAAGTACTTGACCTTGGAATTCCGTCCTTGTTGTTGAATCAGAGTTGGCACTGAGTAGAACCTTAGTCGTAGACTTGCAGTATACTACGTTTGGGCGATTGCGACAGAAAGCCTTCTAGACGTTGATTCAGCTATCCCGTCCTCCTTGAACGGTAACGATAAGTAGACCGGTTTCTTTCCTACTGAATCCATTTTTGCCTTCGCTTCTCGTGCCTCCATGTTTCTCCCAACGAACCTCTCAGAATAGCCATTTCTATCGAATAGGCTTCGTACAAAGTTTAGCTCGTCCGAAAGCTTGTCCTCGCTACCTATCCTTCTTGCTCGCTCGGTTAGGCACCGACCAAGTTTCTGTTTCTGGCTGAGCGGGACGAAGCTGGCAAAGTGTGTATATTGCCCATTCCACGTTGTCTTTAAATGGACACTGCGCTGGACCGACCCGTCAGATCTTCTGCTAGTCTGAACGTCTAAGTACAACGTTGAGCTGTTGCACTCAGATTCAAGGGTGAATTTTATGTTTGCGTGGGCTGTTAAATTGCCTCACTAATTCATCCGTGCATAGATGACTATCTGAGATGCAGAATATATCGTCCACATACCGTCCGTTCATGTCATTCATTTGTGGTGTATTAGTCTGATGAGGAACCGCTGAAAATGAGCTTGTTCGCCAATATTTTTTCTTTGGTCTACTCTAGGGATATTTTATCCGTTTCCAGTCGTCTAGGTTAAGGTTGAGTGTTACATTCAAAATACACACGTGGAGAATTCCCGAATGATCAGTTTAGTGCGAACATATTTGGAAGCTAAATAACCGGAATGAATGCACTTTACCTGATAAAGCCACTACTTTTATCACTTAGTGAAACTGAGCTTCTGTACGGCTGACGGTGTTTTATTACAACTATTTCGCATGACTTTTAAGCAGAGCTCGACTTGATTCGGACGGATCAGATGGTTAGATTTTGCAGTGTAATTAAATTGCTACTGTGCGCCCATAATCCCCCACTTCTGTGTCTTCCTAACTGGTTAGAACAAGCTCTTACGAAATTATGTTTGTTTATCAAGTTGGGCTGTCCACCGCACTATTCTCAGCTAGACATTTAGGGAATACCCTGAGAAATAGAATCTATCAGTTTTGTTGCTACGTTCAGTATCAAGTATCAAAGGTCAATCCGATCGTTGCATAAGGGTTGCACCCAACATTTTAACTCTAGACTAGAAAACTTTGGAACAGTCCCACAAATTGCTTGTCTAAAAAGCTAACCTCATGTTTAACCATCGAACTGAGAAGGTACTTTATCACTGATTAACTTATTATTTTGGAAAACTAATCACGCCCTCCTGTGTACAACTACGTGCATTTGTAAAAATGCGTTTTTAAATTCGTTTTAGGTGTTTACTAGAAGGAAACGCAAGAACTGAACTCACGTAAGCCAAGTTGTTGCTGCTGGATCTCTTGCGATGTGTTCACTTGTTCCGGTGCTTCATAAAACTTCATCGAACGAGGACGTTTGCATGCATGTATGCCAAACTTACCTGATATCGTTGAATCACTACTGGTGTGCGCACCGGAGGATCAGTTTGTAATGCAACATCTGAAGTGTATCCGGTTTGTATGGCCTATTGTTAAATGGAATAGGAGAATTGTAAGAGTAAAGCATATGAACTACAAATTCCTTTGTCTCCCGAGGTGCAGGAAATGTCTGACCAAATGATCCGGAACTTTCCACCGTACGGTTGGTGGTGCAACCATTGAGGCTCCCATTTTGGTCTGGATTCTGTGCTGTATGCGAACAATGGATAGGTACGGACACATGCTCGCTCCGTTTCACATATTGCATGTAACTATCTGCGCTATTGTCGGACATTACAGAGGTTCCGCAATAAAGAATACATCCGGTACACCTTTAATACCGTTAGTTTACTCCCTTGTCATCTACACAGGGTTCCGGTGTCTGATTTGTCGAGGTTGAAGCTCAGCTGACGTTTGAAACGACTCAAGGTTATACACACACGCTCACGAGGACCGTGGCGAAAATTCCGTTCAATAACTTCCACACTCCAAACAGGTGCAACAAGCCGCGTGTATTCACCTGTAGCGTGTAATGAAAGCATAACGGTGGCTCTGTCACTTGGCTCTAAGTCTGTAAAACAAAGCTAACACTCCGTGCTCAGTTACCAGCCAAAATTTCCTTACCTGGAAATTACAAAGAGAGAAAAAATCCAGTAGATGGGATGAAATTGGGACAGAGCAGCACGAAATTGTCCTTACTTTGGATGTGATCCTGGAGATCGCAGTTATCAAGAATTGTTTTAAGCTCCAAGATGATTTCAATCACTGAAGACAGATCAGTTACTCCAAGGTCAAAAGGTGTATCCAAAAGACCGATCCTTTGCATAGACGTCTCAAGCATATTCAACAAGCTATCGCAACCGATTTTAATATTTGTAGTCCAAGGAAAGCATAGGTTTGTTCGAATGTGTCATTATAACGTAAACGAGGAGTTTCAACCGTATGTCTGATGACTTTAATTAGAGACACTGGTGTGATGTTCACAGGCGTTCGGTGTCTTTTCGAATTTCGCACATTGCCTAGAGGTTGATTCCATTTGCTTTATCTCAGTCGATTGTTGCAAGTGTACCACTGCGTGCTCAAATGTCTTCACCCATTTCGCTACACTGTTTGATCTCGTTCAGGATATCAACTGGTGCTTCCCAGCTGAGCCACCTCCCGACTTCGCCTAGTATGGATTTGTTACTCTGTTCACCGAAACCAACATTTTTGCCCAAACGAAAAGAAGTTCCTCCTTAGTATTTGGACACGAAAATGCATGGCTCTAAGGGATTTGGTCTGGCGCTAAAAACTCTGTCCGGATGCACAGGCGTAGGATGCATACATAAATCAGCGAAAGCATTGTGTTAACTTTGTCCGCGAAGACAAACTCAACCGCCAAAAGAACATAGCGACGAAATTTCTTACTAGTTCTAAGATGATATACAAGCAAGTCAACAAGCTCCGGAGAGTGCATCGCGGAATCCCAGTTAGATGTGCAGTAGCTAGTCTGGCGATCACTACACACGAGGCAGCCTTAGTGGTTCGACAACAGTTTACCCCGACTTTCCAAAGTAAATCGTCCAATAACTCTCCTTCTAGTGTTATCCAAATCTATGGAAGGACTAATCGAAGAAGCTCTCATGGGATACCTGGAGAATAACAATATCTAGTGTCACAGCAGCATGAATTCCACCGGAATCGGTCTTGTACCACAAAAGTGTTACTAGCCCAAGCAAGTTGGACAATAACAAGAACAACAACAGCAGCAGCAGTACATCAGCCATTTGAACTGATGCTTCGCTGCCATACAACCATGATGATCTATGAAATAAAGAATAAGAAGAGGGAGAGAAGGGGACTTGCCTGAAAACCTTAACACCCTAAGCAAACATTCAGAGTCAAGGCGCCTACACCTTGTGTAGACAACATACGGTCACAAACATCTGGCTATCGTGCAAAGATAAGGCGGCATCGACAAGATAGCTTCCTTACGGCTTTCATTGTCCTGCGTCATAATCAGCCATTACCCCGCAGATAACTCAGCATCAAACACACTTTAAACAGGCAATCCGAGTAGGAGACGGCAGCAGACGCGCCACTGGTCTCGGTTGCGAGCCATGTCCTGTAAAGTCTCGAGCCAAGCACAAGGCGAGTCACGTGGACTCCAGCCCGGAAGGCGAGACGGACCGACCGCACCAAGTCTGATCGTCAGTGAGTTCATTTCCCGCTGCCAAGTCAACTTCTGTCTACCTCGAGCCTTGCGCCACTCTACACCTGGCAGACTAAACAATGCCGTCCTAGGTAAGCGGTGACCTGGCATACGTAGCACGTGCCCAAGCCAACGCAACTTATTCAGTGCTATCTGTTGTTCTAGGTAGCTAGCATGATTATCACTACCTAGTACTCGCCTACGCACATCATCGTTGGGGATACGCTGGTGCCATCCGAAACCAGTAATGCTTCGCAGACAACAATGATCAAAGACTTGAAGGCACCTCAGATCTTCAGACCGAAGGGGCCAAGTCTCACTACCATACAGCAGAACGGCCCTCACTGTGATCTCGTATACACGGTCTTTCAGACAGCGGGAAACTCCCTTCTACCGCCAGAGACGCCACAGGTCCAAGAAGGCAGCTTTGCCTTTGCAATGCATGAACTTACTTCAGTTTCTATGCGCCAATCGTTGCTGATACAGCTGCCGAGATAAGTGAATTGATCAACCAACTCGAGTTTCTCGTTTGCAAGCGTCAAGGGGTCATCAAATGGCTGGTTGTCCTGCAGCAACACTTTGCACTTTGAAGGTACCAAGAGCATACCAAATGACGGGACCACTTAAGACTGGCCATACAGTATTGATTGTGCCTTCGCAACATCATCGAAAAGCAAGACGATGTCGTCCGCATAATCAAGATCAACTAACCTTTTACAGGGCAGGAATTCAACGCCTACATCTTGAGATTCCGCAAGGAAACACTCCATGATAGAGCCCATAACGAAATTGAACAAAAGGCTGGACGAAATCAGCCGATGTCAGACAAGGAGTCGACGTTGAGTAATTGAACTTACTTAAACCATTCAATCACCTAGACCACGGAATTCTTTTTCTTAAGCTTCAAATAGGGGGACTCTGTGAATTTGTACTAGGTCGGATAAGTAGCTTCCTCGTTAAACATCAGTTGGATGTGTAACTCCGCAAATCCATCTCCTACCCAAGTGAAGTCCAGTTTGGTGTGTCCTAAGGATCGGTGCTGGGACCACGTTTGTTCCTAGTATTCAGTAACGATCTTGCTATGTTATTCCAGTCAGACTTCCTACTGCTTGCAGACGATGTCAAGATCTGCCATTGCATCAAGACGGTGGACAACCATGAAAAATTACAAGAACACCTCTACAGGGCCTACCCATGGTCATCCGATAACCGGATCCAGTTTGACGATAGGAAAAGCTCTGAACATACGCCACCAGTGTACTCATGAATATCGACATGGTATGCACGGAAGCGACCTCGGAGTAACGATGCAAAACGATCTTGCCTGCCTGAACCAGGCTGAGAGGGCACCGCAGAGAGTAAGTCAGTACCTTGGCCTCCGATGAGAGGCGTTCGGAAAGTTCGAACCATCAGTCTTGACGCAAATGCCTACTTGAAGCCCCACTTGTACTATGCGAACCAAGCCTGAAGTTCTTGACGCAGACACGGTATTGATGCGCCTGGAGCACTGCAACGTGGGGCGAAGAGAATGGTTAGACGACTGTTTCACCTACCCTACCAACGCAGACTGTAAGCCCTAGGCTTGCCCAGCGACGAATGTCGACGCGTGCTACGGGATCTCATCACGGTGCAACAAATGTTGTCATCAAATGTTGCCATCTGTTGCAAGTCAGCCACTAGACCAGAGAGGGCACCAGTTCAAACTGACCACACTCCACAGTTAGCTTGATTGCCGATAACACGTTTTCTGCCTTGGGGTATCCACTGCGTGGAACGCTCATCCTGTTCACGTTATTTTGCCTTCACATTAGCATTTTTTTAACGATTGGACTACACAGTTGCACATTTACACTACGTGACACAGTGGGTTCACATCGGATGACGAATTAACGCCAAGAGAGTGACCATCAGCCCTCTCCGCTTCGTAGCGGTGAGCGGACCAGCACGTGTTCATGTGGGTAACTCGGTGAGTCACCTCAAACCAGAATTTTCCCACTTTCCTTTATTTCATAATCCCCACACAGATCGTCCTACGTGATTTGTCAAGCAACCGCTTTTCTGTCCGTAATTCAACACTGTTCGTTGTTTAATGTCTAATCGTACACGACCGGTAATACCATAGAAAAGCGTGCACTGTAGTGACTGAGTCGAGTGACTAAGACGTGTACTTAAATGATTTTGGACGATCAGGAAGGGTGCCGGGTTTAAAAAATCGTTGAGCATGTCTTCTCATTGCCTTGTACAAATTAATTGGAGAAAATCATTGCTTTAAGCTTTAAATTATGGGAATGGTATGATGTCAATATGAGGTGAGCGTCTTGATTGCAGTCTGTTAGCAGAACAACTAAATGTTCCCTATCAGTTCTGTTTCCCAAAGTATCACTCGGCTTATGAGTAGCCATCTTTTGCTGATTGGTTATACGTGTCCTGTTTCAATCCGCTCTGTCACAATCTACTTGTTTTCTTGTCGCACTGGATACAACACAGGATGTTGAACCAAAACTAGGTTTTTATTTATACGAACGACGTACCAGTGCAGTAAATTCTGAGAACGATGTGCTTACTTTTCTGCCCCTTGTTTTTCAGTTGTTTTCGGTTGTGTATTCTGTGAACGTCTTATAACTAACTAAGTAGTAAATAAATCTTGAAGCCTGTGGACATTGGATGTTGTGCGATCGAAGACACTCCACTCCAGGACCGAGTTCGAACTTTTTGGCCTCATCAGAGATAGCTGGCACTCGAACCCTGAACAGTAAGTAAAGGCTTATCATAACATTGCAAAGCAAACAACTATTCCCAGCTGGGAGAATACGAGCAGTGCACAAAAAATGGGATTAATTGTTTTGCCTGGTGAAACGAGGTGGGTCTTCGTTTAGTATGGCAAAGTGGTTGATAAACCTATGTGAATGCAGAGGTTTTTATAACCGTCGTTATTTTCGTGGCAAAGCCTTCGTTTAGTACGGCTCCCTAGTTGGCGTGAAGTTTTCGGTTCTTGCAGAAAAGAAGTTGATCGAAAGCGAACTGATTTATCATGTGAGACTTAGTTACTCAAAGATACCGACCTCAATGTGCCGAGAAGTACACAGACCCCACATCGCTATCCGCTACCGCCAGCAAAATGGACAAGGATATGAGGCGGAAGACCTCTTACAGGCTTTAGCCCATGCTGACACACGACCTGTATATCTTGGTATGTATAGCTCATTAACCCTCCTTATCGGAATGTAGTGTAACGGCCACCTGATAATGGGAAACGAAGGTGATTATTAGGTAAACGTATTTGC